TTCTAGAGTTTTATCATATCTCTTATATAATTAAATAACTTTCTAAATTCAATAAATTATTACATCTTTAATTATCGTAATACCCATCTTGTTCTATTTTTAGATGAAACAGCAGTTATTTCAGTATATTTTAATTGCAAATTAGTGGACGAATCATTAGTCAGTAACATATGATATGAAGATGAGCATTGTGGAGCGAAATTTTCCTGAAAATACATAACGCTGCCGGTCTTGTTCATTAAAATTTACGTGGTTCATTATATCTTGATTCAATGAATATCCTCATTTGTACCGTTTTAAAATGCGTGTGGTTTAAAATAAACGCGCGACACGACGCAGCTCCCGTTGCGTCCTCATTATTGACCGCGGTGTACCAGGTACATACATATACCATACCTGGCGATCACCAGGATTTCTGTATACGCTCTGAAAATGGACGATCGGTGGTTGTTTCGTTCCCCTTGATATCTCATCTGCATGCAGATACATCACGAAGTTATCAGTTCCCTGTAGAATCCACCGCGATCTCGCACATTTACGGCGCCACTTCCGGCAGGGAAAACAAAACGCGGGCCGAGCGTCGCGTCGATGCGCGCGATTCATCCGCAACTTTCGCAATAAATCAACAACAGAGATGCGTAAACAATTTCTATCATCTAACCCACTGGGACTGCGGAGAGATCAATCACAGGACGCGCGATGGCGGCGCGATTTAATTATTCGGCCTAGTCGCCGATCGATTGTGCGAAAGATCGTAATGATGAAGAATTTAAATTGCGCAAAATTCCGATTCCGCAAAACTGCAGGATGCTAGAATTTCGAGAGAAACCATGAATAAACCTCCAATCCTTTTTCGCCCGCTTATTTACAATCTATTATAATTTTGAGTAATCACGACCTGCGCTATTTGAATACTCAGATTTACGCCTCCAAATGTTTTACCACATTTTATCTCTCTAAAAAATCCTGCAATGTAAAAATATAAAATAAACAAGAAAGGAAGAGAAGAAAGTAAAAAAAAAAATTGGGAACGGGATTGTTGCGTTGTCGATGAACGCGCGCTGAAAATCCAACGTCGTTAATTGAAAAATTCCCGACATTTCGTCGACGCAATGATTGTAACGCGAGAACGCGCGAATAAATATGACCCCCGCGCCAGGAGAGATATGGATCTCTCGCATCGGTCAGGCGTTCAGAATGACGTGGACGACACCGTCGTCGACCTCGTCGAAGATAATCGGTCGAATACACATGCAGTGAAAGCGCGTCGCGCGATCCTGCATTTTAAATCATGCCCCCGACTTTTTCCGTCGCAGCTTTTCAACGGCGCGGCGGCAGCTGGCACGGCCCAGCTGCCAATAGCACAGGCGTTATCCGGTCAATTTACCGCGTTTATCCCTTTAAATATGGACGCGCGCCCCGTTGATCCACTCGTTATTCCCGATTTCGCGATGCTAAGCGCTGTTTTTCACAGCCGCGAGCGTTTTTATGCGGCTCTGTCGGGAAAGTTGGCAATAACAATCGCGAACAATAATAACCGTCATTCACCATCGTTGATTATTGTTGACATTCGACGACAAAGTCGATTTCACCCGTTTATCGCAATGTACGACTTCCAGAATGGGCTATTTAATTAATAAAATTGTTTTAACATCAACAATGCGAAATTATTTCGGTTTTTAAAGCGCCTGTACGGACGTAGATATATTTTACGTAGAATAATAATAGTGTTTAAAATTTTGATCAAATTAGCTACGGGTATCTTCAAACCATTGAAACAAAATTGTATTTCCATCCTTTATTTTTTTCTCTCTTTCTCTTCCTGCATGTTTCCACGCGTGGAATCGATGCCGAATTTATTATCGCTATGGCATACATATTCATCGTGACGGGCGTCACTCACAGGATATAGAAACTAAATCTACTGGAAGTGAGACCGTAACCATCAAACTCTCTCGCATTGTTCTTACTTTCTCGATTGACGCTGATGAATTTTTACACGCCTTTATCCGTTGATTCACCGGTTGTCGCCGCGCGATAAAACGAGGTGCGACGTCTGAAGGGACAAGGGTTGGAAAAAGAGCATGGTTGATGAAGATTCAGCAATGTGCAAACGCGGACAAACATCCCCAGGAGCTACGCGAATTACAACGCTGAATATACGGCGCCTCTCTTTCGCGTCGTCCTGTATATTACCGTTTCGCACGAAATAAAAACTTGCAAATCCGATTAGCGAATAATATTTTAAGAGTTCGCAATATTTGTAAGAATTCGACTTGGGATCCGGTTATAATAAAAACGATATATTTAATTTTACAATCCTATGATACGACAAATAGATTAATTTCTCGTGTATGTGATTCCATAGAAAATTTTTTAGAATATATGTATATTAATTTTCAGTGAGTTAGACGTGACAGAGAACAATAAAGGGGAGATGGCACGTGCGTAGCATTTAACTACAAATATTTTCTTCCTCCCGGTAAAAGCCGTATCAATTTGCATTTCTAATTAGCCATTAGCATAAAGCTAGTTTCTTATTACTTAGCACGAGAAGAGCGGCATAAGCAGCAACAACAGGCGTTCACATCTAATCTCACGTATTTCAGTTAAACGAAATTACAAAGCGGACAATATCCGTCGAATTATTCAACGCCTCGTATACATCGCTGCATCGCTGTATTTCTGCAGCGTGTCGCGTTGCCAGCTCCGCTTTAAACAAATGTTTTATAAAAAATAAATAAAATATTTTTACGTTAAACGGAGGGGTTGTTGTATACATTTTGTAGAAACAGATCCCTCAAAGGGATAAATGAAAAATATTGCGTGACTTGTTGAATTGTTGCCATACGCGTGCGGGTGCGGACGCAATGAATTGAAACGCTCTTTTGTGTAGTTTGATCGCTAAAAGTGCATAGCGCGATATATCGGCTTTACACAAGATTTACGCTTGTTAGATAGCCTCGTATCTTTAACTCAATTTACTCTTGTTATCTTTTTCATTCTGTTTCATTCACGTATTACTTTCGAATTGAACAATTAAAAAAAGGTGTATTTTAATGCGAAAAAGAAAGTATTTGAAAATACTAGATCGCCATGCTTTTAAAAAAAGCGTTTTCCACGCAGAAAATTTGTCAGAAGAAAGTCTTGTTAAATAACCCTTCGTCTGTAAAGTTTTTTTTGCACTCTCGGAGTGTAAACGTGGATCTGTCACCCCTTTTACGCTATTTTTTTCTACCTCAAAGTGTTTTAAAAAATCTGAAAAAAATTCACAAAACATCTGTCCACATTGTAGTTGATGATTTTATAGTCATTTTGATAAACATCACTTATTTAATATTTTCTGGCAGGCTTGCAAGTTTTATAGTTACAAGCAAATATTATTTTGGACGCCGCGTGCCGTAGACCCACGTTTACAGACGGAGGGACAATTCTAATAAAGAACAAATATGGAATATATTTCGATTAGACTATTTACCTTCATACACCCAGTCCGGTACTCCATTGTAAATAGTTCCAAACACTCCCGTGTTGGTTATCTGATAGTCATTGGCCACCTCTGCCTCCGGTCTGTAGTAGATATTGTTCTGGTGAACGTAGATCAGGGCGTTGCCGCGCGGTGCCCAGGTCGCGAGCTGCAACGGCGTCGACTCGTTCGCCGCCAATATCGTCTCCGTTCTGCAAACATAACAAACAACGTGTTTCGTAATACAGTGAAAACAACGACTCTCGCAGTTATTTTCTCGCCGCCGCGCCGCGTCTGCGTTTTCCAAGACAGAGACCACTCGCGGAGGGTTTTTACGCTTTCGCGGAGAAGAAACTGACGCGTGCAACTTTCCCGCTTTTTCGTGCTTCCTATTTCACGTTTCCCCGTTGTAAATAAAATGTTCATCAGTTTATCTCTCAGTCAGGACATTGCGCTTTCAAGGACGGATGTGCGCGGTTACGGTAAAAATGTTACGAATGCAAGAGTACTTTTTACTACTTTAGTACTAGTTTTGTACAAAATTACAAAAGGAGAAAACGTAGTAGAAGCCAAGAAGATGGAGTACACACACATACACGCGTACGTGTTATTGCCTTAAATTGAGAAGTGAAAAATGTTACGAAATAATGTTAGGTAGCACGACAGGCTAAACGTACGTCTCATATATTTTGTATTTTTAATTTTGCTAATATACCGCCCGTTGGACGAAATGCCGCGACACACACTTTACAAAAACTTTTCTCTCGAAATTATTCGCGAGTTAATAATAAAATATATAAAACGCGAAATACGAGATGCAAAAACATCAAGTTAGTGGAATTACTAGCTGCTGGCCTCTTAATCGTACGTACAAAGTGGCAGCATAGTGCAACGTCATAAAGTTAATAATTAAAATTGAAGATTTGGTGTGTATCGCTTACAGGTTAGTGTATAAGCTTTTATTTTGCAGTCAATCTACTTTACAGATTCTTAATCGCTTTTTGTTGCATGTAAAACTAAGATAGAACTTTAGTGTAGTCTATTTAGCAAGTATCATATGAGTGATATACATTTCTTTGTGCACAATAAAAAAGTAAAGACAGCGATATCAGATAATTTTGAGATAGTTTGTATAATAAATATATGAAATAATTATTATTATTATTAATGTAATAAGACTATTTTATTATTAATACGTCTTAAAATGCAATAAAAATTATTTTTTGCAAGATTAATATAAATGGTTCACCTTACCCGACATGGTTCAAATTACCCTACAAAAATCTATCTTCGAAAATTGTATATAACTATAATATTAAACTCACCATAAATAAACGAAATTTGTTAGGAATACATTGTAACAAATATTTGGCATTACAACTCAGCGAAAAAAAAGTTCAGCTATCTTTAGTTATAGGTTTTAAATTATCTTAAAAGAGGCTTAGGCTGGTTCAAATTACCTGAATTTCCTCTAAGCTCGTCTCGCTCATCGATCTCACAATCAATCGGATAAATTCACGCTTACAATAGGGTTGGTATCGAAATTCGGGTACATGAAGTTGAGACAGATAGAGGATACTATGTAAGCTGTCGGATCACGTCCGCGTTATTATTGCTTAGCGTTCGTGACCGATCTGCTGCAACCAACAATGATGTCACAGTGTCCCGGTTGAACAATGCCGTAACTCTGTATGATTTTAGGCGGGGTTCCTAGTTTCGAACTGCCGGACAACCCGGAGACATAGTCCCGCATAACTACAGCGCGCGCCGTATTGTCACGGTGGCTTTGGCCGGGGAAACGTAATACGGGCCACAAATTCTTCGTCAAAGGTTCGAAATCCAAACAATAGCGCGGCGGATTATTACCGGCGAGGGAACGATCGAATAAAACGGCAAATAAGTAATTACTCGCGGGGAATAATTACGATTATAATTCAGAGATGCAATTAACATCGAAATGGGTGTAGCGTATTATTGTTCCCACCAATATGCGGTGTTTCTGCATATTGGTAACACTACGTTTAGGAAACTACATTATTGATGCTTTCAGCACGACAGAAACTATTATGGAATTGTATGTTATTGCTGGCAATAAATTATCGCTTATCACGTTATCACGTGCATTAATTGACTTATTATTCATACAATATAAATAAAGTTACACTAATTAATTTTGTGGTAATAAAATTTTATCAAATCTCTTCTTTGCACTACATAAATACGTTTATCCCTCTTACATTGTTTATAACTTTTTTAATTACGTAATCCTCATTTAATTTAATTTAATTTTAATTTTTAATTCTCTTTCAATCTTATGATTCTGTTTTGCGTTTTTTGTTTTGCGCTTAAATATGTCTGTAAAAAAAATAGTCGGATAGACATTTTCAATGTATTTTTTCCTAATGCCCGCATTTTCGGCATTTTACGACTTCCTCGTAAATTAAGTTTAGATCGGGTAATTTCTGCCAAGACTAAAGACCTCTCCGAGCTCGTTCGCGATTAGGTAGAGACGCTGTTTACAAACGGCTTGAGAAAAGCCGATTAAGGGAAGTTGATTTTTGCCCTCGCGTGCGTCGTAAAAATATCATTGTAGGATCCTACAATGTAGACAATGTAAATCGACGGGAAACACTCCAACCGTTTGTTTACTCGAGTACCAAAGCCGTAGATTTTATGAATCGACCTTTTTGGTTGTGTATATCTACAGAAAATATAGTCCTTTTATCGCGTTATCTCACGTGCCGTAAAAGCGCCAATAAAGTTTGATATTTCACTCTCTTAACGTCGGATTAAGATGCACAGTTTCAAGATGCTCGAGACGCATCCAGCAATAAGATGTTCCGCGCGACATGCGACGGGAATAAACGAGAATGACGCGACGCGATGTATGTGTTCCGCTCACATGCTCGACATAGTTATCTCTCTCTCTCTCTCTCTCTCTCTCTCTCTCTCTCTCTCTCTCTCTCCCCCCCCCCCCTCTCTCTCTCTCTTTTTCATTGTCATTTTGGATAAAAGTTTTATCCATTTCGGATAAAAGCTTTAAAATCGAGATCGGACTCTGATACGTGGCAGATTGCCAACTCTGCAACGTCCGTTTCCGCATACGGAAAACTATCGGAATCCATTCGCGTACGAACTATTGGCAAATACGTTATCGGGAGGAAACGAATGAAGTCATTGAACCGTTATCTCATAGCACTCTGGTAGATCAATTAAATAATTACGCGGAAATGATTTTTCGTGAAACATCGAACTTATCCTTCCAGTTTACATCACGATCTTTTGACTCGTCGATTGCTTCTATAAGAAGTAAGACGTGCTACAAGTTTTCGTTTAATCGAGCAAACCAATCGGCTTATCTTCTTTATGGATCTTTGAGATTTTGAAATTTAAACGAGCACCATACTTGTAAGCGATCTTTCGCTACGTTAATTCTCACTGCGTTCTTTGCTTATACTTTTTACGAGAATTTTGCTTTCATGGAAATTCCAATCTATAAAAGAACCTCGAAAATATCGCGAAACATGCGAGTTTCATCTTACGTCGCCGCAATATATGTCCACAAATGCATATGTTCTCAGATACGTTTCCAGATGCACATACACTTATGTACACATTCGAAAGAGAATAGGAAGAAAATGTTTAAGAGAGATGGAACGAGAGGAGAAACGAGACGAAGAAAGAGAGAGAGCCTCTTCCCTGCAGACAGTAAAATCGGGAGCAGTTCGGATATAAACCAAAGTATGCATCGCGTTCTGAAATTGATTTTGTGACGGCTTCTGAGATTACAGATGGAACAAACAAACACGTTTACGATTATGTAACCACACGTATACGTTTGAATGAAAATCGCTTGAAATCTACGAAAACTCCGTAAAATCAATATTTCTATCCTTTACATTAAAAAAACTAATGTTGTATTAACAACATTAGTCTAACAATAAATGAAAATAATCTTGTTAATACGCTCTTGTTTTAACTCTAACGGCGCCTCGCAAGAGTTTAACATACTCGACTCATGGTGGATTGAAGTATCAAATATGTAAAAACAAAATTTCAACAATTTTTCTACCCTCTAAACTACCCCTACATGCAAAAGCCACCCTTAAAACGTCAAAACGTTGCAATGTAATTTTCTGTAACTTTATCCTAATTTAAATTGTAGAGAAAATACTTCAGAACGTGCAGGTATGTTGTAAAAAACTTACAGACCATTACTACCCTTATAAACCATCGCTACATTAAAGAAAACATCTCCATAGTTCAGAAACGTTACAAGTCGAAAATCTGGTGGCTTATGTCATTCTCAAATGAGAAAGAATTTCATTAATATTGTCATTAAATTAATAAGATTATTTTCAATCAGATTTAATACTGTTAATACATCATTTTTACCGTATAATTTATTACCGTTATTTCACTCATTAATTGTAATTATTTTAGTAACTACGCTACGAACAATCCTCACTTCGAAATGCGCGCTGAAAAACTGCAGTGAAGATTACTCGGTATTTATTAGAGACGGTGAACTATCGTGGAACAAACGATCTAGGGCTTGAGACAAATGTTCGCGAGTTCTTAAAAAAACAGGATCAGAGTGCCGTTACACCGAGCTATTTGCTTCCTACCTCCGCGCTTCGCGTCGAAAAAAGCCGGTGAGTCTTTCCGGCTGGATTCGCGCAATGACCCCGCGGCGTTTTCGTTCGCGCGCGGCGCGCGGCGTTCAGCCGGCCGCGGAAAATCGATGAAAAGCGTAAACCGCGACGTTGACTGCCGTGTTGTCGGCGTCGGCTCGGATGGCTCGTTGTCCTCGTCGCGCGGCAAACTTCTTCCCGAAAAGCCATAAATAAAGGCGCCGGTATTCATGCGGCGTACAAACCGGGTTTATGGCGGGACACAGGGCTCGCCTGGCCCTGGCCTCGCTTCGCCTCGCCTCGCCTCGCCTCGTCACGCCTCGCCTCGCTTCGCATCGCCTGGCGCGGAATATATAGCGAGGTAACTCTCACGGCTTATTTACCCGTCGCTCTCTGTCTCTCGCTCTCGTTCTCCGCTCTTTTGCCCTCGCCCCCAGGCGTACCGGTGTATACTCTCGTTTCTGCCTTTTATCGCGACACCAAAAGCCAAAAACGACTGCCCCCCCCCGCTCCACCCCGACTGTTCTTCGCATCATTGCCACCACGTGTGAACAAACTGTCGTGTTGCAGTTTACGCAAAAAAAAAGAAAGAAAATCTTCGCATTTGGCGCTCTTTGATTTTGAGGATTCGCCGAGAATAACTCAAAATAAGAGACATACATTTTTTATAACATCGGGTCAGATTACTTTCGCAAATATACCATCGCGTTGCAAAATAATTTTAAAAGCAGCTTTTTCAAAATTAAAAAAAGTACATCGGTACAAAATGCAGTTAAAATTAGTCACGTCGTGGTTTACTTTCACGAAATAGAGAATTACTTTTTCAGATATCAACTGAAGAGATAAATTATAATTAAGGAATAAATGTTATATTTTTTATTATATGCTGCGTTATATTAAATAATATATAATATATTATGTTCGCTTTGCGGGCAACAAACACAATATATAATAATAATGGAAAGTATTTTCTAAAATGTTATACCCGCAACCAACTCAATATATTAATAAAAAGTAATCCTTAAACAGCAATCTTTCTATTTCAATCAATATATCACAGATAATTCCAATTAAGCTTCGGCCGTCGAAATATTAGCGATGAAAATAATTATCTTTCGTATAAACTAATCGTATTTCGTTCGACGTTCTGCAGCTAGAGAGATTTCGAATACACATACGCAATGACACGATATTACAATTGCGGAAAGGAAATGTTTCAGAGCGGTACGTTTTATCTGCGTCTGAAGTAACGTCCTGGCGCGAGTCCATTTTCCTGTCGAATGAACGGATACGTATCGCAAATATACAAATGTAAATGAGCCGAAATTTCGTAAGAAATTTATTTCATCGCCTGTCTCGACGTTATTTTTCACGTCTCGAAAAACGGAGCGCCTGGCGGCATACGCTCCGCGAGAAAAATCGCTTCTTCATGTCAAAACGCACGCAAGTAAAATGTAAGATTATAACGCGCGTACTGATTCGCGCGATATATGCGTCAGAGGCAGAGGCATATTCCACGTTTTCCTAAGAATACACACGTTTTTATTTGTCTGTAAAATTTATCGTAAAATGGACGATTTGGTGTTTCATTCGTTTGAGATAACAGTCTGTATATTTTAATATCTAAAGACGCGTAAAGTAATGTACGGGAGAGATAAATATATAACATACCATTAATTTTACTGCTATTGATCACGTATGCAAATATATCAGTGTTTTAATTTCAGTTTTAATTTATTTTATAATTTATTGTTAATTTTAATTTTATTCTGCGACACTCGGCAATCGCATCTCGCGTTCTTTAACGAAAAATACGTTGAAAATTTATTAAATAAATAATCCTCATTTTCCAACCATGCGTATATATGAATTTTTTTGCCTAAAATTACCTCAAAGTTGAATACATACTCTCGAAATAATCCTACGTTATTTCATTTACGCAATTTTTATCTTAAAATCTGGCTCTTCCCCAAAGCCAATGATAAATCTCAAGCTTGACAGCGAGGAGCAGTGCATGTCTGCTCGTTGCGGTGGTTGCGACTGTGGTTAAATCGTGAAACAACTCTATGTACAAAGATGACGAGCGGCCTTTGCGTCGATCTCTGCGAATCACGGTTCAGAAACGGACTGAAGTTTGATCTGCGCGAGTATGATGATCTCAAGCGCGATGGTAAAGTCTAAAATCATGAGATTCGCTTGCCGTTGGGGGGGGGGGGGGGG